GAATCTGCGCTGTGGCAGTGCCCGTCGGCGGGCTGGGGCCAGCACGACTGCAGCCACAAGGAGGACGCCGGCGTCCTCTGCTCAGGTGAGCGGCGGTTGGGTATCAAATGATCATGCTGTTTTATTACGTACAATCATGCCTACTTGCTTTCCAGAATTACATTAAAGTATCAGGAGCTGTTGTCTTCCTTGAATGCAGAACTTCCACAATGTATTGGGTGAGGTTCCTCTTGGGATAGTAAATGGCACCGGACAAAGCGCTTTGGTTTCCTGCACCTGGAGCTTCCTGGAGCAGCCCCGCCTGGGCTCATCACCAGCTCAAGTGAGCTTGAAGTTTCCATCTGGAATTCACGTATATATACATTTATTTTGGGATGGTCTCACTGTGTTGCCCAGGCTGGAGTGCAGCGGCCCAATCACATGTCACTGCAGTCTTGACCTCCTGTAGTCCAGGGATCCCTCAGCCTCAGCCTCCCAAGCTGCTGGGACTACAGAAGTGAGCGCTGCCACTGGCTTCAGAGTCTTAATTTTGATCCATATTTTGGGGTACTGGAGAACTTTTTGCAGACTGTTTTTTTTTTTTAAACAAAGTCTTGCTCAGGCTAGAGTGTAATGATGCAATCTTGACTCACTGCAACCTCTGCTTCCTGGGCTCAAATGATCCTCCTGCCTCAGCCTCCAAAGTAGCTGGGATTACAGGCATGTGCCACCATGTCTGGCTAACGTTTATTTTTGTAGAGATGGAGTTTCACCGTGTTTCCCAGGCTGGTCTCAAACTCCTAGACTCAAGCAGTCTGTAGGGTCCAGCCCCACAGGGTCAGTGGGTTTTTCTCCCTGTGTGCAGAGATAAGAGATTGTAGAAATAAAGACACAAGACAAAGAGATAAAAGAAAGGACAGCTGGGCCCAGGGGACCACTACCACCAAGACACGGAGACCAGTAGTGGCCCCAAATGCCTGGCTGCGCTGTTATTTACTGGATACAAGGCAAAAGGGGGCAGGGTAAAGAGTGTGAGCCATCTCCAATGATTGATAAGGTCATGTGAGTCACATGTCCACCGGACGGGGGCCCTTCCCTTTTAGGTAGCTGAGGCAGAGAGAGAGAGGACAGCTTACGTCCTTATTTCTTCTATGCTCTTTTCAGAAATATCAAAGACTTTCATACTTTCACTAATTTTACTACTGCTATCTAAAAGGCAGAGCCAGGTGCACAGGATGGAACATGAAAATGGACTAGGAGTGTGACCACTGAAGCACAGCATCACAGGGAGACAGTTAGGCCTCTGGATAACTGCAGGCGGGCCTGGCTGATGTCAGACCCTCCACAAGTGGTGGAGGAGTACAGTCTTCTCTGAACTGCCCTGGGGACAGGGAGACTCCCTTTCCCGGTCTGCTAAGTCGCGGGTGGTTTTCCTCGGTACCGACGTACCGCTAGACCCCCGTCCGCTTGGCAACGGGTGTCTTCCCAGATGCTGGCGTTACCACTAGACCAAGGAGCCCTCTGGTGGCCCTGCCCAGGCATCACAGAGGCTCACACCGTCTTCTGGTCACTTCTCACTATGTCCCCTCAGCTCCCATCTCTGTATGGCCTGGTTTTTCCTAGGTTATGATTGTAGAGCGAGGATTATTATAATATTGGAGTAAAGAGTAATTGCTACCAAGTAATGATTAATGATATTCATACATAATCATATCTATGATCTAGATCTAGCATAATGCTTGTTATTTTATATATTTTATTACACTGGAACAGCTCGTGCCCTCGGTCTGTTGCCTCGGTGCCTCGGTGGCTTGCCGCCCACAGCAGTCCACCTGTTTCAGCCTCCCAGCGTGTTGGGATTACAGGTGTGAGCCACCGTACCTGGCCATTTTGCAGACTGTTTTTGAGGTGGTGGATGAGATTTTTTATTGTTATTATTACTCACGCATACCCGAGAGTCTTTGTGTTCTCATCTTGTCCAGGTGTGGTCATTCTTGGGTGATGGAACTTTGTCATTTTAGGGGATGGGTTCTCCAGAGACGCCTGTGAGCGAGTGGGTCATGGGCTCCCCACCTGACCTGCGGTCTTTCCAGGCAGTCCCGGGGGGAGAAGCTGGATGCTGGCAGTTGTACTTTAGAAACGTTTTCTTCAGCGGTATCTTGGATTATTACATTGTTTTCAATTATTGCGTTCTTTGTATGCAATGCTGGAGTCTCGTGAGTTTGGGTCTTCTCTGTGTTTCTGAAATATATTTTGGCGTGGCTCCTTCCCCAGGCATTCTTGGGGCATTTCTCCGGGTGTCACACCACAATCTGCGTTTCTGTCGGTTCTGCTCTTCGGTCCTTTGGTGCATTATTTCACCCTCCTCACCTCGTCTGTCACCTCATTGTTGTGTTTTTATTCTCAGCAGCTTGTTTTCTCCTAATGACATTATGCTCCACTCTCATAAAAGGTCCATCTTTTTCTGGCATCTCAGTGAGAATGGCAGGTCATTTTCTAGAACATTCTGCTGGTTTCCGTGGAAAGCGGCTGATGTTAGCCCTTCCTCCGCATCTTCCATGTGGTCGTTGGTCTCTGGTTTGCAGCATTTTCCTCTGGTGGCTACTTTATCTGTTTGTCTGTGAAGCTTCATCCTGCGGACCCCACCTGAGCCGGCATGTGCAGGCATCTGGCCGTCAGACCGTCTGCTGGAGCCAGCACGTTGGGCATGGCCAGTTCAATTCCCGGGGCTGCCTCTTTTCCACCTGGGTCTCAGCTATGCCTCGGTCACTTCTGGCCCCTCCAGGCTCTTCAGGGTCCCTGCCTGACAGGACTGCATCCCCAGGGTGGGGTGGGGCGCTCATGGCTCCTGCTGTCCCACTTGTGGGCAGGTGGACAGGCAGGCCACGGAGCCCTGCTCAGCTCTGGGCTGCCCACATGGCCTGTGTCTCCTGCCTGTGCTGCTGCTTTGCCCAAGGTCCTGTCCATATGTCCAGGGTGCAAACTTTAATTGTTTTGGGAAAGCAGATGGGACTTTTCATATCTGAGGGACAGGAGCCATTTTAAAGAATTAGAACACTAATTTCTAGACATAGGTAGAGGATATCTCTTGATAGACTTTACAAAAATACTATATTGCTAATATTTTTGAGAGAATGAAATATAAAGTATGTTACATGGTGTTAAAATTTGAGCCCAAAACATTTGAAAGAAAAAACCATCTGTAATTGCAACAGCCGGAGATAAAGCCACCATGAATATGTAACGTACGTGAAATTGATGCTGAGTAACCAGCCCCACCACAGGCAGCAGGGATGTGTGTGGCTCCAACTTCTGTGGTCACTGCCTTTGGCTGTGCTCAGCCTGGTGGTTCTCTGTCCCAGCCGGGCTCCCTCAGTGCCTTCGGTCACTTGATGGTTAGGTGGAGCCCTGCTTCTGGGCCCTGGCTGAAGGCAGGAGTGGTGGAGGCTCTGTTTCTGTCATGATCCAGCCTTGGTTCTAAAAATGATAGCAGTGTCAGCCTAGGAACAGGCACAGAGTCTCAGACCCTATTCCTTGGCCCAAGTCCCGAGGCAGCCAGGACTCAAGGACTGGGACACGGACTCAGTGAGAGGGTGTGGATCAGGCAGGGGATACTTGTGGACACTTTTGTATTCTATTACCATGAATTTCTTTCCAGTACTTTTTCTAAGCTTATTTTAATTAGATATGATCCTTTCAGTTGCAATTTATACCCAATGTTCTCCAATTATCCTGGTACAGGTATTTTTAAAATGTTATTACAGTGCTTCATGGCATAGCTTTAAAGAATTGTCTAACATGCCATTAGGTGACCATATTAGTCTGTTGGACTCTACACTGCTCCAAGGGTAACACTGAACATATCTGGGCACTGATCAGTCAGGACCGAAGCTATCTCTGAACATGGGGCTGAGGTACACACACACACACACACACACGCACACAGAGTTAAATAATTACTACAGTCAAGCCAATGAGCATTCCACCATCTCGCAAAGTTACGCTTGATTTTGTGGTAAGAGCACCTAAAATCTACTTTCCTAGCAAATTTCCAGTGTACAATCCAATATTATTAACTACATTCCTCCTGCTGTATGTTGGGTTTCTAGATTTATTCATCCTGCACAGTTGTGTACCCTTTGACCTACTTCTCCCCATTCCCCCACCAGCTGCCCCATAACCACATTCTATTGTTTTTATGCAGTTGACTTTTTTTTTTTTTTGCTCCCATATGTAAGTGGGATCATGCAGAATTTGTCTTTCTATTCCTGGTTTATTTCATTTAACATAACGTCCTCCAGGTTCATCCATGTTGTCACGGATCACAGAATTTCCTTCTTATTTGAAGCTGAACAGGATTCCATAGCATCCATGTACCACATTTGTTTTACTTTTTTAGATCGACAATCTTCGCACATCTGTATGGGGTACATAGTGGTGTTTCAATCCGTATAATGTGTAGTGGTAAGATCAGGGTAATTAGCAAACAATCATCTCAGACATGTTTCATTTCTTTGTGTTGGGAACATTCAATATCCTCCTCCCAGCGATTTGAAACCAAATAATACACTGTTAATTACAGTCACCTACAGTGCTATAGAACGCTAGATTTATTCCTCTTATCCAGCTGTGATTTTGTATCTCCACAGATCTCCTCCTATCCCTCCCTCCCCAACCTCCCAACCTCTAGTGTCCTCTGTTCTGCTTTTTACTTCTAGGAGATCAACTTTTTTAAAGCTTCCATTTATGAGTGAGAACATGGGGTGTTTAACTTCTGTTCCTAGCTTGTTTCACTTAACACAGTGTCCTCCAGTTCAATCCGCATTGCTGCAAATGATGGGATTTTACTGTTTTTTGTTTTGTTTTGTTTTGTTTTTAAATGGCTGAGTAACTGCCGTATTTTCTGTGTCCATGTATCTGTTGTTGGACATTTACACTGATTCCACATCTTGGCTATTGTCAGTAGTGCTGCAGTGAACCTGGGCCTGCAGATGTCTCTGCTGTGCTGATTTCATTTCCTCTGGGTCTATACCCAGCGGTGGGATTGCTGGATTGTGTTGTAGCTCTGCTTTAAATTTTCCAGAGAAGCTCCACACTCTTTCTATAACTGATCTCAGCACTGGGACCCCCTGAGTCTAGCCCCCTCCTTCTGAGACTGCCCGTGGTGTCCAGGCAGGGCACTCCTTGGCCTGACTGTGCTTGCCTTGCAGAGTCGGTGGCTCTGAGGCTGCGAGGTGGGACTTGCTGCTGTGCTGGGTGGCTGGACGTGTTCTACAATGGGACCTGGGGCGCCGTGTGCAGCAATGCCCTGAAGGACCTCTCCTTGTCCATCATCTGCAAGCAGCTGGGGTGTGGGGAGTGGGGCTGGCTGGAGAACAGGCCCTTCCCCTCTGCCGGTACCGGGACCGCCTGGGTGGACAACATCGAGTGCCGTCCGCTGCGCAACTCCACCCTGTGGCAATGCCCCTCCCATCCGTGGCACCCGCATTCCTGTGACCTTCGGGAGCAGGTCTGGATTACCTGTGCAGGTGGGCATTAGAGGTCTCCGGGGGTGCCCGGGAAGAGGTTCATCTGTCCTGACAGGTCACTGGCAGGGGATGCCATCGAATCAGAGCTTGGGCCTGGGGATCACTGGGATCCACAGCCTTCCTTCTGAAGCTTCTTCGGGCACCGATGCTCTCAGAGCTGCTGTTTAACCTGCAGGATTGTCAGACGACAGGCCACAGGCTGCTGGGGAGCCCCTCAACTGCTCCTCCTCGCTCGGCTGCCCAGGTACCCCTCTGTCCTTGTCCCTCCTCGCTCGGCTGCCCAGGTACCCCTCTGTCCTTGTCCCTCCTCGCTCGGCTGCCCAGGTACCCCTCTGTCCTTGTCCCTGTCCTCCTTCCCATCCCGGTCCAGCCCCCACAGTGACGGCAGCCCCCGTTCCAGAGGAGGGCGCGCTGCGCGTGCGCGGGGGCGAGGACCGCTGCTCCGGGCGCGTGGAGCTCTGGCACGCGGGCTCCTGGGGCACCGTGTGTGACGACGGCTGGGACCTGGCGGACGCGGAGGTCGTGTGCCGCCAGCTGGGCTGTGGTGGGGCCGTCGCCGCCCTGGGGGCCGCCGCCTTTGGCCCTGGCTCCGGACCGGTGTGGCTGGACGAGGTGGGGTGCCGGGGCAGCGAGGCGTCCCTGCGGGGCTGCCCTGCGGAGCGGTGGGGACGCGGAGACTGCGCGCACAAGGAGGACGCGGGCGTGCGCTGCTTGGGTGAGTGGGGCCGGGGGAGGACTGGGAAGAGGGGCGCCGGTTGAGTCCTGTGGTGGTCTCCGGCCCCTTTCCCCTCAAGCGGATCCCCAGCACCCAGCCCTGAGGCTGCCCAAGGCGTGGTCCCTTGTGGGTGCTCCTGGCCGGGCTGCCGGGGACCAGTCCTGTCCGCTCAGGCTGCGTGGGCTGGGTGAGGGTCTGTGCGGCTCAGGGCTGTAGCTGCCTCCCCATCCCGGTCCTCACCTGCCACCGTTTACTGCAGGTTCCCCGGAGACCACTGTGCTGCCCCTGCCGCCGCTGGGTAGGTGGCTCTTTCTCATGCTCACCCCCCCTCCTGTATGTCGGACCCCGCAGGGACCTGCACTGGGGCTCAGGGCTGACCATCATGACCAGGACACACCCCCCTCTCCCTGTGCCCACCTGAGTGAATATATGGGGATCTGGGGATGTGGAGGACAGAGACCCCAGGCCCCACACAGCCACTTCTCTGGGGTCTTTGCCTTGGTGGCTGCGGGGGGCTTGGCCCTCGAAAGCTGTGGCCCCTTGGACCCTAGGTCTGTGTTCAAGGCAGAGCTGAGGGCAGTGGGCAGTCAGGATGCTAAGCGCATTCCACAGGCCTCACCCCCTCCCAGATCATCCTCTGATGCCCCTATCTGGGCCCACATACCTGCATTTTCCCACCTGTGCCTTCCACCTCAGCCCTGCACTCATGCCTCCCCACCTGTGCCCTCCCAACTGTAACCGCTCTCTGGGCCTACACAGCTGGATTTGTCCACCTGTGCCCTCCCACGTGGGCCTTCCTCCCTGGTACCCACTATCTGGGCCTACAGGCCTCCTGGGTTCTCCCACCTGGGCCCTCCACCTGGGCCTCTCGTGTGGTGGCCTCGACCTCCACGGTGTCTCTCCATGGGAGGAGCGCCCGTTCAGGCAGCACAAAGGCCCACCTCTCCTGGGGTGGCCCCATCCCTGTGAGGCTGAGGTCCCCCAGGGCCAGGGTCACAATGGCCCAGGCAGCCCAGGTGCACAGCAGGCCCCGCCTCTCACTGTGCCCCACAGCCCCTCCCTTGGCCCCTCCACCTGCCCACAAGGCCTGGGCTCTGCCTGAGATCACCTGCCTGGTCCTTGGTTCCCTCCTGGGCATCATCTCCCTGTTCCTGGGCACGCAGTGGTGCCGCCGCAGAGCAGCCTGCAGGGGTAGGTGGGTGTGCCCAGGTGTGGTGAGCAGGGGCCTGGGGTGGGGAGGCTAGGGGGCATGCTCTGTGGGCCCTGTCATTGCAGACCCTTTCTGTCCTGGTCACTGCCCTGAATGCTAAGTGGCCTTCCCCATGGTGACTGCTCAGTGACTCTCCGTCTGGGCCTCAGGGACCCTGAGTCTGAGTCTTGCTTTGCCCCCGCGATGTGCTGGATCAAGGAAATCCACACTCCCAGGGCTGCCTGGAGTGAGAACGGGCTTCAGGATTCTGCTGACCCTTAAGACTTATGTCCAATGGGGGCTTTCCTGGGTGTGTTCAGAGGCGGAGGCCACCGGTCCCACCCTAGGACCACATTCCTGGGGGCCCTGAGTAGAAAGTGGCCTCTGGCTGGGGGGTCTTTGCCGTCTGTGGGGGCTGCTGACAGAGGAGCCAGGGGTGCTTCTGGTGTGCATGAGAGACCGCAGGGGCCAGGCAGGGTGGGCTTGGACTGCAGGAGCATTTCTTCTAGAACATTCTGGTGGGGCCTTTGCAGGTTGGGACATGTCAGGCCATCTGTCCTCAGAGGGTGTCTATGAGGACATCGGAGCCTTCCACATGGAGGAGAAAGACGAGGGACCTGCAGGATCCGGGGACCTGGGCCTGGAGGAGGACTATGACGATGTGGGAGAGCCTGAGGATGGCGCTGGGGAGGAGGCGGAGGAGGCCAGGGTGCTGCTGAGCCCCGCAGGTGTGCACCTCTGTGCCCTGGCATCCATGGTGCTCTTCCTGCTGTACTGCTCCTATGCAGAGGGCTCTGCTCTGGCCAGCGCCTACATTTAAAGAACCTGAGAGCTGCTTCTCATGTGTCCGTGACTTTCTCTCCTGTCTCAGGCCTGGGGCGTTAGGACTTCTGGCTGTCCTTTTGAAGCTGCATCTCCCAGGGGTAGATGTGGACTTAGGGAGGTCATAGGTCTATATTTGGGTTGCTTTTGCAGCTGAGCAGTGTCCTTCCAGCACCTTGTCCCAGTCGGCTGCAGGAGGGTCCCTGGGCAGCCCAGGTCACTGTGAGAAGCCATATCACTGTCTCCCGACCCACTGTGTCCCATCCTTGTCCCTTTGAGGCTTTGCTTCCCAGCAAGAAACCGGGAGATGGGAACTCCTGGGCTTTGAGAAATCGCTCAGCACCCCAATGGACCCTGTGTCTGTCTCCCTAAACACAGGTGGGGCTCCTTTCAGCCTGGGCCCCGAAGCTGAGGCTGGGATGGAAGACCATGGTGGCCTCTGCCCCAGGACGTGATGACCTGGAGCTGACAGTGGGGATGTCAGTGTGTGGAGAGAGTGGGATACACCAGGGAAGGCTGGGGTCTTCCTTGTCCTCACTCTCAAAACAGATGTTATTAAACTCTTTTTGAATTCACTCATCCGTCATTAATTCGATCCAGAAACATTCAACAGACACCATGATGGTCCAGGTTCTGTTCTGGGCCCCGCTGTCTGCCTCACCTGGTCCTTTGTCTTCTCGTCTGGGGGCGACTGTGTGTGTCTCCAGTCCACATTGTTTTCACTGGTTTACTGAGTCGGGATGTGGGCTACTCCTCCTGGAACTCAGGCGGGAGGGTCAGGGGTCTCCCAGTCAGGCAACCTCTTGGATCGTTTCTTGTCTCTGCTGCCACCTGACTTCCAAGGTTAGGGGCCCAACCTTCAGTGTGGCTCCCTGATGAACCACCCCTGGGTTCCCGCCTTTCATATGCACACACAGTGCTGAGGGGGATGGCGAGGGCTCCGCTGGGCGCTTGGGGTCAGAATCTCCATTTCTTACAGCTGCATTGCTCTGATGGGCCCTGAAGCTTTCCCTGACCATCCTCATTGCTGACCACACCCTCCCAGGACCTAACCCACCAACAATCCCACCCACCCAGGATTCCACCATGCAGGACCCCGTCAGGCATGTTTAGATCTTTTCTGACTTCTTCATCTCAGGTTTCAGCATACTGGTAACACCCAGGTCTAAACATCCAGTGAGTCGTCACCTGTAGGGTCTTTCAGCCTCTGTCTGGCCTCTGTGTTTGCCCTGGCATGTGGGCAGCGTGCTGTTGGCCTCACTGACACTGGCTCCGTAAGCAGTGAGGACCCCAGCTGCACCCTTGGGGTCTCTCTGCACGCTGCCTGCCATCCCCCAAACCCCTCCTCTGTCCCAACTTCCTGGGATTGTGAGGGGGGCCCCTGTTTGGGTCCAAGGACCACCTCGGGTGGAGAAGATAAACCAGAAGCCCCCTTCCTCAGACAGGAAGCCCAATGAGGGTGCTGAGGGGACGTCCAGAGAGCATGGGCAGGGCCTCCGGGCAGAAGTGCGGTGCTGAGGATGTGTGGCCAGCTTCTTGGGGTGCAGCTGGAGCAGCTCCTGATGGAGCTGGGGGCAGAGGCTTACCTACCGTCTGAGCACACCTTACCCTCCGAGAACCGGCAGGGCCTGCTCTCAGGCAACAACCCCTAATCGAGGGTTGGCCAACCTGGTTTGACTCCGTGCGAGGCGTGTCCTTAGGGCAAGGTGGGGGGTAGGGGATGTGGGTGGTCCCTGGGGTGGGTGAGGGTAGGGAGGCATGAGGTGTGTGGAGGGGCCGTGGGGGAGAGAGCAGAAAGGTGGCAGGAAATGGGATGAGGTGTGAGCATGAGACACGGACCTGGAGGACACTTGGGGAGCAGAGTGAAGCTGTCAGTGCCACGGGGAGGACCCTGGTGTCGCTGCCCGCTCCAGCCTTGCCGTGTGTGCCGGCCTCGCTCCTCCCAGCCTTGCCGTGTGTGTCGGCCTCGCCCCTCCCGTTTCTTCCCCTCGGTCTCCCAGCAGCAGTGTTTTATGAGTTTTTTTTTTTTTTTTTACAGCGATTGGCACAGACACGGGGACCTAGAGCTGCAAACCCGCCCCCAAGGCCTCCCCAGGGCTTTCACCTTCCTGACTCCACGTGCAGGGCACTAAAGAGGCCCTTTGCAAGTCAGAGTATGGGGAAGCACCTGAGGCAGCGGCAGGCCCCAGGCGCGGGGCTCCAGCACACACAGCCTGGCGGACGGGCCTGTGACCTTCTCTGGAAATCTGGTTCCCTCTCACTCTCCTGGTCTCCACATAGAGGTCTAGAAACTGGAGTCACCCTGTCCTGAACTGGTTCTCTGGCAAATCTACTGGAAATTAACCTTTATTGATATTATGCTGCTTATAAAATAATACCATGCTTAATTATTGTACATGTAAAAACAGGCCAGACGGGGTGTGCTGATGCCTGTAATCCCAGCACTTTAAGAGGCCAGGGGAAGTGGGTCACTTGAGTCCAAAAGTTTGAGACCAGCCTGGGCAGCATGGTGAAACGCCGTCTCTAAAAGCATGTAGCTGGCGTATTGACTTGCCCAAATGCGAGTGTTTATCCAGCCGTGCATACACGCTGCCCCTTTCCGGCCTTGCCTCAGACGCCGCATCATTGATTTAATCCTCTGTTGGATTTGGCGGCTTCCCAAGGACACAGCCTCACAGGGAGGCCGTGCATCCCTTACGAATTCGGGTCGCAGGCATGCACGTTTTTCAGAATTTTGCTCCCATTGCTAGGTCTGTGTGTTCACAGCGCATGAGCTTGGCACGACCCTAGGTCTTCAGCCACACCTTTTGTGAGAGGCAGAGAAGGTCCATCCCTCCGCTGCCAGGCCCTGGTGTCAGCACCCGTGGCCACCAGGGCCTTGCTGAGAATGGGCCCTCACTGGTCCATCTCACACTTGGGGCTGCATTGGGCACCAGCTGCAGGAAGCCCAACCTGGCCTCACCACACGCTGCTGGCACCGTCTGGGCTGAGGCACGGGTGACAGATGACAGCTCTGATATGGGGGGAGGAGGCGAGGGCGTGCACGGGCTTCCTTCTCAGAAAGGTGTCACACTGAGTCGACGTCCACCTTCCATCCGGGGGCAGAACACACATCCCTGCCACGAGAGCATCAGCCTGGGGCACGGCAGCAGCAGAGTGGCCAGGCATGGCATTGTTCCCTCTGGGACTGTGGCCCCTGCTCCTGGCCTGCGGGACCCGCCCTCCCGGTAAGTGTGTGCCGCTGCCTGCAGGGCGCTGGGGGTCAGAGCCCCGGTGTGCAGGACATTCCATGGGGGCGGGGGCCACGACACCACAGTGGTCCCGTCTGCTCCTTGCTGTGCATCCTGGGAGCCTCAGCTGGCGACCACAGAGGGCTGGGGTGTCCGCTGCGGGGCTCATGAGTGGGCAGAGTGATCACAGTCTTGTTTTCTGGGCCTTCCAAATGCATGTGAAAGGCTGGGACCTTCACTTCATTGAATTTCCTCAGAAAATGGTCCTTAGGCCGTTTTTGTTAACATTTTGTTCATTTTTGTTGATATTTAAGTTTGTTCATGTCATTGGTGACATCCAAATAACGCGCAAGAAAACTTGGGAAAATCAAGAGTAAGGTGCAAACTGGGCTGGAAGGTGACAGTTAGATTTCTAACTTCGGAAGTTCTGGGCATAAAGTACTCAAGGGTACCTTTGCCATGACGCCTTTCCTATGTTCTTGTCCCCGAAGCTCCCGCTGCAGAGTCCCTGGCCCTGGTGAGGGGTGGAAACCGCTGCGAGGGCCTCCTGCAGGTGCAGTCCCTGGGGCAGCAGGGCCTGGTGTGTGGGGACCACTGGGGCCTGCGGGAGGCGTCTGTGATTTGCAGGCAGCTGGGCTGTGGTCACGCCCTCTATGTCCCCACGTATGTGGTGTGGCCGCAGGAGGCTCAGCAGTCCTTGCTGCAGGGCCTGCAGTGCCAGGGTGTGGAGGCCTCGCTCTGGGACTGCTCCCTGGGGAAGTGGGGGTCACTGAACGGCTGTGAGTGTGAGTGCATCGGTGCAGTCCACTGCTCAGGTAGGACGGGTGCCCCGGGAGCCACTTCTGCCAGTCTGTGGCCCTGTCCCCACCCACGACCTTCACTTTGGGGAGGAAGGGTGTTGCCTGAGTCCCCTGGGGTGGAAGACAAGACCCTTCTTCCTGGGGTGCCTGTGACTCCAGTGCTGTGACCCTCAGACCCTCATGGCACTGTATGACCCCACGTGTGTCCCCTCCAAAGGCCCAGACGGCACAGCACAATTGAGGAACATATTACACACCGAGGCCATCCCTGGCCGGGACCCCAGCCCGAGTTCAGTCCTTTTGGGTTCAGTTGACTCATGGCAACCATCAAACATTGGGGGCCAGTGGTGACCACAGGACCTTGTGGGGTGAAGGGTCCCTCTCTTCCTCCCCTGAGTGGCTGGCACGAGTGCAGGCATCGGCCTGGGGGCTCAGGCAGGTGCGGAGGCTGGTGCTGAGTGAGGTGCTCCCTCCTGGCCCTCATCTCGGCTTTCTGCTCCTGTGCTCTCCCCCTTGTCAGGGCCCACTCAGGAGGCTCTGAGCTCCTGGATCTGCCCCAGATTTCAGCAGCCCTGTCCTGCTCAGGCTCTGGCTGGGACCCTGCCCTTTCCCCTCTGCTGGATTGTTGGTGGGAAGCAGAGGCTCAAAGTGGCAAGTGTGAGGAGAGATGAGGGGCATTGACACAGGCAAGGAGAGGCCACTGGCACCAGAGGGCCTTGGCCTGCACACTCCAAGGCATGAGCTCCAGAACCAGAGACAGCTGGCCCTGTGTGGAGACCACTGTGGGGGTATGACCAGGCCTGGGATACTGGCCTGCAGGGCCTCTCAGAGAGGCGCAGATGGGCCGATCTCCTATGTGCTGTCCTC